ACAATTTACCCTGCTTTTTTTTTTTTTTTTTTTTTTTTTTTTTTTTTTTAAACTTGGACTTGAAAACAAATACGGTAAGCAGGTTCCTGGATAACAGCTGTATGTTCTTTCAACAAGGTGCCTCTAGCAAAAAGGAGCTGTCTGCGCTGCCAGAACAGCATATGCAGAGCTAATTGACAAAAACTGGCAGTAAGTTACAATTTCTATCCAAACTTCACGAAAAACAGGCTTTGTCCACCTTGTAGCTAATATCCTCTCCCCAGCTGAGGTGTGCTGTGGTAGCTGGTATGAGGCCCTTGTATTTCTTAGTTGTACTATCAAATTTTTCCTGAGGTACTATTTTAAAAAAAACCTTACACTTGTGACTGGCATGTAAGGATAAAAGAGGATGAGGGAGGGAATGCTAATGATTTGTCTGAACATGAATCTAGGAACAAAGCAAAAGCCTTAATGCACAAGTCTAGGAGATAGGCTGCCTCTCCCAGGAACTCACTGGGTTTTGTTGGTTTTCTTTTTTTTCCCCTCAGGATTCAAGCTCCTTCTCCTTCCACTCTTGCCAGCAAGACTACAGCTGCACAAACAGGAGGGGAAGAAAAGGGCTATTCTTGTTTGCTGCTCTCAGGAGGAGGAGACCAATGTTCATGGCCTGTCTTTCTGCATAAACTCATTCTGCAAAGATCCTGAAGCTGTCCTCTGTCTTCAGCTCTCCACACTGAACAGCAGGTGCTTGTTTCAACCAAATACTTTTTTTTTTCCAGCCTTTTGAAAGATAGAACTTGAAAGGAGAGATTTGATGTGCTGCTTTTCTAGTTCAGCTCTCTAGCATCAACTCGAGCACCGTGTTCCATACTTGTTCCACTCTCTCCATAGTGTGTAAGTTGACTGAGGAATCTAAAACGCATTTTGATTCTGACACTTGCTGCTTTTTATAAGCAAGAAGTGGAATGCTCAGCCCTTCCTCTGATGCGGGGAATGAAATCTAGTGACTTTAACTTGCAGCTAAGATACTACGAATTATTCTGAGAGGCATTTTTCAGTCAAGAGGTGCAGGTTATTCCTTGCTAGGTTCGTTCTGTATAGTTCTTGCTGCTTCCTCACACAGCCACAATGTCAAGGTATTACCATCGTCACCTCCGGGTTCAGAGGCAGTCACTGTTGGGACCCACTGGTGTCACAGCACTGTGCAGTGCTTGCTTTTTCGTCTAGAGCAAGTAAAACTGGATGCTGCTGCTTGCAAAGCTTGTTCAGGCTTTGAAATTCAGATAGGCTGGCTTGTGACCTGGCTTGTGACCCGCCTCCTTTTTGACTCATGCTTCCTCTCCTATTTTTTATGTGGTGTGGGTTGCTTTTTTATTTAGACCTTTTGACCTCTCTGTCTGCTCAGATCTCTGCTTGCCGCTATTTTTTGACTGTCCAGGGTGCCTTTTAAGCAAATCTCCTTTTATCCTGAACTTCCCTGTCCAACCTGAGCCATAGCCCTGTCTGTGGCTTTCAGTAAGTGCCCACATAGCTCCTCCTTTCTGTAGATCAGTGCAGTATAGCTCAGTAACACCTCTCTTGAGGTCTTTAAGTCAGCTGGAGCCCAGTCTAAGTAAGTCTTGGCATTGCTTCTTCAGACAAACACCTTTTCAATAGGCTTTTGTATGTGGCAGGCTCCCCCCTCCTCTTGGGCTGAAAGCAAACTGAATGCCAGTGGTGCTGTTGAGCCTTGTTGCAGTCTTTGTGCCAATCATTTTCATTGTTTCTTTGTGTTGCTTTCACATTTTCCATGGCCCCAGCTATGTCTACAATGCAGCCCACAGACCATGGCTCTGTACTACGCAGTATCTTGTTCTCGCAAATGTGAGATCAGCCGCAGCTTTCAAAACAAGTGATGCCATAAATGAGCTGAGCTGCATTTGTTCGTGTAGGTTCCTTAAAACCTCTCCTTATTGTTAATCTTCTGTACCCACTTTCATGATTGAGTGCTGTTTGGGCTTCTATGTCTGCCCATCTTGTTGTGATGGACTGTGTGACTTTTAGAAAACACTTGGAGCTCTAGACTAGGTAAACATTTAAGCAGAAATTGAGGATTGTCAGCCTAGCTAAAAACTTGAAGTTCTGTGACTGTGGTGTGTGAGCTAAAAAAAACCATTGATTGATTAGTGGTGTTATTTGATGGACTCCTGAAACCAAATACTGCACAGCTTATCTTCTAAACCAAAGTCCTCCTTCCCCAGGCTCTGCTGGATGCTCTTGGGAGCAGGGCAAGGAACAAGCACACGGGCATGCTCCCCAGGCAGGGGAGCCTGGAGCCTGTCCCGTCCCAGTGCCTTGCTATAACTGACTCCAAGAGGGGAGCGAGAGCAAGGGGCTGCGAGGAATGGAGGGGAGTCTCAAGCTCAGCTTCTTGTCTCCTGCTGCTGTAAGTATAGCCCTGGGGATTAAAGCACCCCTAGCACTGCTTACCTCCTGATTCCTCTGGAGTTCAGTTACTTTCCCATAAATAGTTCCCTTCTTTATTGTTTCTTAGTGACTGAATAAAAATAGAAAATACTGTCAGCTCCTAGGCGTGGGGAGCACGCTGCAGACCACGCGTTTCATCGGGTGCTGTCTGGGGTATTCTTCCATCTTACTCAAGATCCCACACTTCCCTGAAATCCACGTGTCTCGCCCTGCTGCTCCAAGGAGACTCAACTGATATTTTGCAACGCTTAAAATGCCCTCAGCCTTGTTTCCTGTCCATAATTGGCTAAAAGATGTCCCTGACAAGGACCGAAAGGGACTGTCTCCCAGGGTACAGCCAGGCTGCTGCTGTCTCATTTCTACAAATACCAAGAAGCCTTAAGACCAGGTTTTCTGTGAAAGTGTGGCACAGTACCAGCCTGCTGGCCACTGGGATGAACTGGGAGCTGGGACATTTGCCTCCTGTGTGTGATGGCCGAGCACAAGAAGCATGAAAACCCTTGGGCTGTAGAGTGTGGATTTTACAGGCTCTGGAGAATGGCTGCTCTGGAAAACGTAGGTGAAAACCCATCTCCCTGCTCCTGCAGACATCCATTGGTGGGTGCGCTGCCTGCAGAGGATGCATTGCAGCACTGTTTCCCTGGGCACGATGTAATACTGCGCACTGAGAGCTCAAAGACTTTTATTCTGATTGCAGTAGAATTAGCTCCTTATCTAATTTTCCTTGGACCTCCAGACAGCTTGGTGCCTGAACAGAGCTCCGGCCTGCCCTGCCTGCAAGGATGCTAACAGGATCAAGGAGAGCGTGTTTGCATCAGGTAACGCTCCTGCGAGGAAAGTTCCCACTTTTCCTACCCACGTTGTCTTTAATGCAAACCCAGCTCCTTTCCATACACCACAGTGCAAGGGCCCAGCCTGTTTTTCTTCCACGTGTTGCCTCCTGCATGCAGGAATTGGCAGTTGCTCTTGTCATTCTGTTCCACGGCAAGCTGTTTACTGCCAAGATTTGTGCAATAGCTTGTGAAATGCTCACATGCTGGCTGAGCCGCAGCCCGCGAGTTGTTAGCGAAGTCAACTGACTTCACAAAAGCCAAGCTTTGTGTTTGGGGGGGGGGAGTCGTGGCTCAGGCACAGCCTGCTGAGCTAAAGGGCATCCCCCGGCCTTGGAGAGTCACACTCATCTGGGAAAATGTCATGGAATTCTGGGGGGAGCGTGTGCTCCACACTAACCCCATCTCCTGGGCACAAGCACCCCGCTGCCGGCTCTGCACATCGCGGAGGAGTGCGGTGGGCAGGGATTGAGTTGGGCACCGTTTCAGCTGAGGAGCATTACCAATAACTGGCCTGTGTTAGAGTGTGTCAGAAATGGTAGCGCATAACAACCCGGGAGTAATTTTCAAGTAATCCCCTTGTGTTTCTTAGAACAAGTTGTGGCAGGACTATTTTTAACTGGCATGAGCCCAGCCTTGTCTCAACTCCTTTCCCTGCTTTTTTTGGCTCGTTTCCCATGCGAGTGTTGTATCAAGGTTAATTCGACTGTCCTGGCCCGGGGATTCCTGTTGATTGCTTTGCCTCCTACACAACACCACCTGTGTTTTTTAGCGCTTGCTGGCCAGTTTTCCTTGACCGCCTTTGTCAGGAGGTTGCTGGAAGAGCACCATGATCCCTTCACCGGCGCCTGAGCTCAGAAACGTCACCCAACGGTGAGTTCATGCAACGTCAGGGGAAAGCCAAGGGGCAAAGCTGCCCGGTGGCATTTGCCCTCCTTAGATAAGGAACCCTGGGGGGGGGACTTTGCCCCTCGCCCCCGCGTTCTCACGCAATGCGCTTCCCTGCCCCACGTCTGCCAGCGTTTCACAACCTGCTGGGCCCGGTCCCCCCCCCGGCGCGGCGGAGCTGCCGGGGGAGCCACCAGGGGACTGGCACCCAT